CGAATGGCTTCTTCGCCCCGGCTACGCAGAAAAAAACGTGCGACCGTTTTGCCATTCGCTGCAGTGCTTTGGCCACAGTGGCCGTTTCTAGAGAACGAGTTGAAAAGAAAACCTTCACGCAGGCTGTCGCTTTCTTGCAGACATGAAGCATGCTTCTTCTGCTTTTGCGTGTGCTTGCAGAGTTGGGATCGAGACTTAGCAACCGTTCTTGTGTACGACTTCGCATTCTGCAGCTTCGTCCTGCAGTCCTGCAGTATCGTCTGCTCCTCGGTGTTGCAGCGGCCTCTGCTCTCCTCGGTTTTGCAGCAGTCTCTGCTCCTCTGCTGCTTCGTGCCTCTACTTGCCGCGTGCTAGGAAATGGCGCGCATCGAGCTTGTCGTCTTCTCGGCTCTGCTCGATATAGTGCCTTCGCTTCCGGTTTCACATGAGGTTCTTCAGAAGGAGCTCGTTCTGGCCAACAATGGCCACACAGTCTGGGAGGTTGAGCAGCAGGCGTTCGTGTCCAGACTCCAATTTTTCTTTCGGGCAAGCTGCCTGCAGCGCCTTGCAGTTTCGTGCCACGTGGGGCGCGTACGCAAGCTGCGCACGCATGAAGGCTGGGTTTGTTTCAGAGCACGTGCAGGCACGCGCAGGCATTGCAAGTTCTGCGTCAGGAGCTCTACACTGCCATGCGTGGTGCACCTCTCCAGGATGCTGCGTACCTTGTGGCTTCTTGCTTGATGGCCTACACGGAGGAACCACGCTAGACGGACACAGCGTGTTGCTCGCTGCAGGATCGCTTGCGTGCAATTGAGCTCCGTGAACACACAGAGATGTCGATGGGTTGGCCCTCGGAAACAAGGCTGCTGCCTTGTGTGTGTCCTGCTTGCACACGTCACGCTGATGAGGCTGGGTCTGGCACGCAACCGAGACTCGGGAGAGGGGCAAAGGGCGTCTTGAAAACATTGCCCCTGCTCAGCTCCGCCTCTACCCTACCCGGCGTCTCCGGAACTACGCTGCTGAAGGCTGGACAGCGCGCTACCGGATGTGAGCGCACCACTACCAGTTGGATAGAACCAATATCTGTGCGTCGCCGAGTTTTCGTCACCGAATGTTCGTCACCGAATACGCGGTGAAGCACCGCGACCAACGAGGCAAGCTGCCTGGCTGCACCTAGCGCGTTCTCTACCCGTGTATGTTATACGCATTACTGCTAGTCTGCGCGTAGGAAAATATGATTGTGTGGGGATGTGGTTAGATGATTATTTTCATTGTTACATATATACTTTTTCCTGTTGTATTCTACTATTGTATTCTTATATAGTGATTTCGCCATATTCTTATGTGAAAACATGTGCATTGTTAAAAAGCTTTATTAGGCTATCGTTCAATTCATATACTATAACATTTCAAAAATGTTTTTGTAAGACCACATGTTCTCGTCAGCATGATTCCAATATGACAGTGTATTTTGATACTGTGATATTATGAAATCGTTATATCATTACATCATCATATCATTTGTTTTGATATGTCTATCTCGGTTCAGCCATGCGAAAGAAGCCGGGTTCTCAACATTTTTGTTGGGGCTGAAGTAACGTAACCCTTTCAAAAGCAAAGGTTTGAGCAAGCTGCATGCATAGCCCCAATGAAATTTTCAAGGCATTGGTTGCACCCCTAAGCCGTCGAGCCCAAAACCCAAAACCATTACAAAAGGGTTTAGGGCTCAGTGTTGAGGGTTTCTCAGCCCTAAACCCTGAACTCCCGGGGCCCTCCCGACCTGCGCTGCAAGGAAATGGTCACCTGTCCGTGATCGAGTTCAAGAACGGCCTCAGGCTCGGCTACATGTTTGCTCGGTTTAGGAGGGCTCTTAAGAAAGGGGGTTTCAAGGGGGGGTATGTAAGCCAAGGTTCTCTACTACTCCCCACTACTCCCTGAGACCCCCTAAGCTTCCCTACGGTTTGCTATGATACCTACTCCCCATTAAGGCTATAATCTGCAGACCTCACAATGGTTTAGGGTCCAGGCTTGAAGCGAGAACCAGAATGCAGCAAGTGAGTCAATAGTTGTGGGTGCGCTCTCTTTATAATGCAGACGCCTCTCGCCCTTGTGAACCCCAAAGCCTGAACCTCCCCAGGTCCTGGGGTTTAGGGTTCAGGGTTGGAGGTTGAAGGTTCAAGTTCACGGCTTGATGGTGTGGTCAAGGTCGAAAATGGGGATTTGACTGATGCTGATTCTTTGCAGTGGAGAAAAGTTGCTGGACCAACTGCCCTGAATATATCCCCCCTCCGGCGTTCTACACCTTCTACACAGCATATACAGCCCGTTCAACGAAGAGCCCCAGCAAGCAGGAAAGTGTGTCCCTCCCAGGTTTTCATGACTCATAAGTGCATGGGACCGATGTGTGGGAGTGCGATTAAGGGCCGCGGAAGAGCGCGATGTGTCCCGTCGGCCGACACCGAAACCTTTGTTTTTCTTTTACTACTTTATGAATTTATGAACCCAAACCCCTGGCAAGATCCAAAAAGTAGAACCCACAAACCTATACTGCTCGTGGGTCATTGTTTAGGAACCCTTTAGGGGATCTACTTTTTGGATCCTCCCAGGGGTCTGGCAAGTAGCCGCCCTGGCATCCGCCCAGGCGGAGCCGTGCCCCCCCGGCCTTGATGTTGGAACCCTTGTGGTGGGGTTTAGGGTTTAGGGTTTGGTTTAGGGTATTGGGTTTCGGGTTTCGGGTTTCGGGTTTCGGGTGTAGGGTTTAGGGTTTAGGGTTTAGGTTTTGGGCTAGGGGAAAAGCCACTTGAGCCCCCGAAATCCGAAGCTCGAAACAGAGGCAGGTCCTGGATCCAGACTCGATCGAAACTTTGGTGGATTCCCTGGACATGGACCACAGCGGCAGCGTGCCTTCGGCTGCAGGTCATGTCGGGGGTTTAGGGGTTAGGGTTCAGGGTTTAGGGTTTAGGGTTTAGGGTTTAGGGTTTAGGGTTTAGGGTTTAGGTTTTATAGGTTTGATAGGGTTTAGGGTTTAGGGTTTAGGGTTTAGGGTTTAGGGTTTAGGGTTTAGGGTTTAGGGTTCAATTATGGGCTCTTCATTCTGGAAAACCCCATTTCCCTCATTGTGATTTCGCCCTGGAGGGTTCCCAAAACCCAAAACCAATCTCCCAAACCCAACACTTATCGTTTCCTTTCAGTAGATCGAAGGTGTTGACTTAGGGTTCGGGGGCAAGTCGGATTTGTGGGGCCCCTTGTGATGAAGCGTCCGTCATGTGTACTGTGTAATGTTGCACCTGATTTAGTATCGGCCTCCGCTTGAAAGACAAAATGGCTGGGTACTTCAGGACATCCAGACTGTTTGGCAGTCCCTCTTTAAGACAAACTGTTCCCGAAATCCGGCATTTTTCAAGGATTTAGGGGTTTCGTTAGAAGCGAACTTGAAACCGATGTCCTGGCCTCTTGGCCTAAAGGCCGGGCCTTTGAATCTTCAAGGCAAGTCGTCCTTCCAAAAACCCGACATCCCAACTGACACCAACTCAATAGTTTCCGTTTTACAAGCCATATAAAAAAGTTGTCTTGCTCAATCCCGCAAAGGGGTGGTCCAGGGGCCAGACTAACCTCGAATAATGGGCATTGTTTCGAGACCCGCATTTCTGTCCTGGCCCCGGGCCCGGGGGGCTGGATTTCGATGCCCTGGCCTCTTGGCTTAAAGGCCGGGCTTTTGAATCTTAAAGGCAGGCCTCCTTTCCAAGACCCCAAACACCCGGATCCTAGCAAAGCCGAATTCAAGAATTCCCTTTTAAAAAGCCATGTAGAAAATTGTCAAGGGGTGGTCCAGGAGCCAGCCCAACCTCGAACAAGAGGCACTGTTTCGGGACCAGCGTTAATGTCCTGGCCACGGGCCCTGGATTTCAAAAAATCATATGGATCCCTTATAAATTCATGTAAACTCCTCCCTTTGAAATTCAGATGGATCCCTTTTAAATTCATATGGATCCCTTTTGACATTTATGTAAACTCCTCCCTATTAAAATCATATAAAATCCCGGGCACGTTTAAAGAGGGCGAAAAATCCAGCTTCGACTGTTCTAGGGGGGGGGGCCTACACTAAAGCAGGTGCAACATTATGACAGTGTATAGTAATGTTCATACAAACAGTATTCTCTGAGGCCCTGGCTAAATACCGAGACCATAGTAGGATCCTAATCAAGGACCACTAGGGGGTACACATGATTTTATCATGTAGATGAGCGATCCAGGAAGATGTTCGCATGCTTCTGGGGGACCCAGGTCGACTACTCCGAGTTCGTCGCCGGCTGCCTCGACGCCCACATGGGCCTTATCGAGAGCGCGCTGTACCACGCCTTTCACGTCTTCGATGTGCGTCTTGGCGCCACTCCTGGTTTTGTTGCCTGCTGTTGGGGCGGGCTTAGCCCTCCTTCACCCTGTGGAACGTTAAACGCCCCCTCTCTAACCTCTAGACCCCGAAACCCTGGCTGCCCGGACCTTGGCCTCCTAGGTCCCTCCCCTTGCCCCCCCCAAAAACCGAGGAACAACGATGGCGTGATCTCCTTGGGCGAGCTGCGCTCCATCCTCAAAGACGGCGGGGAGGACCGGGGGCTTCGTGTGTGGGTTGCAGCCTCTTTTTTTTTGCAGGGTTTGCTCAAGTCTGAGGGTCCTGGTCCGTCTTCTATTGGGGACTCTATGCCAAGGGTATCGGTATGGATGTTGGGGGCGTCGAATTTCGGGCTTCGGGGGGGGCCTGGGATTCGGGAGAAGTTGGGCAAGGCCCTGGCGCTGCTTGGGAGGCATCTTTTTTCTCCGCCCCAAGCCCCGAACCCCAAACCCCAAACCCCAAACCCCAAACCCCAAACCGCAAACCCCAAACCCCAAACCCCAAACCCCAAACCCAAGCCCTAAACCCTAAATCCAAAATTTAAGCCTCCCTAATCCTTAAACCTTAAACCCTAGCCTCGCCCCCCGGTCCAAGCCTCAAATCTTAAGTCCCCCAAGATGGGCCTCTCCCC